ACACACACACATACACACACAAACACACACTCACACACACACACACACACACACACACTCACACACACACACATACATTCAAACACACATGGCGCGCCCCCTGATTGTACCCTATTGCAGGATGTAACATTCGCAATACATATTTCAAGAGAATACCAGACATCATCATCCAGCGTCAGATCTGCGACAGACATCGGCGATCAAGGTACTCCATTCATTCCTTTTCTGGATGCTCTAAAAAAAAAAAGCTATGTTTCCCTGATCTTTCCCTGTAACCCATTGTTTAAGTTCCCTAAGTATGTTGTTCTGGGCCTACCCCAGCCTCGCTTGCCTTCAATTTTGCCAGTGAGAGCTAGATGTTCAAGACCCTTATATGTCTATTCAGGCGTCCCAAAAACTGCATTTCCATGATTGTTCTTAGGATATTACTGCAGTGGTTCCCCGTTGCCTGCTGCCCGTTTGTGTACAGTTTTCTCTGCTAGCCTTTGTCATCCACTGACAACCCACAAGTCAGTAGGGGTTTGGCAGGCAGTATTCATAGCCCCTCCCGTCGCCAAGATGGTCCCTTCTTTGAGTGTGTGAGGTATTTATTGAAGCACCAGTGCCACCAAGGTTCTCTTCTACTCTCCACGACCATTTCCCGTTTGGTTCGCGACTGCTTAGCTGCTAACCTCCATATCTGGAGGTCTTTCTCCTATCCACCACTCGCGACGCGCTGGGTTGGGTATGAGGACCCAATGCTAAATCATAGTACTTCCCAGGGAATACCAGTAGGGATACATATTATTATAGCCTAATCCATAATATATATACACACCGTATGCGTGTGTTTTTTGCGAGTTTGTGTGTTTGTATGTGTGTGTGTGTGTGTATGTATGTATGTGTGTGTGTGTGTGTGTGTGTGTGTGTGTGTGTGTGTGTGTGTGTGTGTGTGCGTGCGTGCGTGCGTGCGTGCGTTGGACAGAAATAACTGTCCCCCCCACCCCCGGACTCATAACTTATCTATCTGATGCCCAAGATTGGAAACTGTCACCTATCTATCTGTCTATCTATCTATCTATCTATCTATCTATCTATCTATCTATCTATCTATCTATCTATCTATCTATCTATCTATCTGTACA